GATCTACTCAGGTCCCTTCCGACCCTAGAAGCTATGAAACAAGTAGCAAAACCATTTCATTTCCAAATGATCTTTCCACAAAAACAAAATACTTTCTTTTTATTAATATATAAACAACATTATATTAGCAATTTAGATCTGAATTTCAATAATAAAACACTTAGCTACAGAAACAAAATAGTTTAATTGCTAGGAGGCTGCACTGCACATTGGTTTGCTAGCATTTTGGCCTGACACTGCTTTGCCTTTTACCTTTTTAGAGTCTTGAAACCGATCACACAATTTTTACATTTAAAAATGACACAAAAATTCTACAAAACCTCGTTGTTCTTATTTGAGTGGAACAGTGAGTCAATAGCAAAATGCAACTGCATTATGATGCAAAGGTTATCAAAATACAGATTCTCCTTGAAAAACTGGGAAATACATTTGGTTCAACTGAATATCTCGACTGTAGAACTAAAAGCAATGGTATATACCAGAGGTCAGCAAACTATAGTCCATGGGCTGGATCTGGCTCACAAAGTGATTGGATCTGGCCCATGATGAATGATCTGGCCCAAGGCAGCACAGGAAATCCGCAGCATACAGCTCAGCCCAGTATGCTCCCCTTCCCCACCCCGCACTGTGCCACTGATCCCCTGCTGCGCTCTCACCTCTATGGCAGGTGCTGCTTACTCTCAAAGAATATTACGCATATGCTTAAATTTAATCTTTTCAAAGCCACATCTATTTGAAATTTGCCTTTTTAAAAGTTAATATCTACTTTCACACATTTAAAAGGCAACCTGCAGACTGGGTTTATATATTCTCTTATAGTCAGTTTGAGAACCATTCAAGCTCTTCCATGCATACTAATTAATTAGACCACTTTTAAAATTGCTGTAAATGACCAGGAGAGCTAAAACTACTTTAAATACCAGAACTAAATATGAAGAGTACGCATTTCTTTACAGAAATACATGTTATTAAAGTTCTGTCTAGATATTTCATTTTACCACAGAATATGCAAGCTATTCCCCATTTGCTTCATTTTGGCAACAATTTAGTAATCCTTCAATTACTTGCCTAGCTCCTTCCCAACAGTGACTTTTTTTATTTGGAAATGTAATAATTCACAAACCTCCATCCATCCTTTGCGAGGTAGCTGAAGATTCCATCAACAACACTTGCAAAGAACTGTCCTCCGGTGATGAAGAGAGTATTAATGGTAACTAATCTGCCTCGTAAATGGGGTGGAGCAACCTCTGCGATGTATACTGGTACTGTCATAGAAGCCACACCTACCAAAAAAAAAAGTGAGCAGTTAATGACCAAACAGAGAGCCTAACAGTAAGTTAAGTCTCATGTTAAATATTACGCTTTGAATGCAACAAAACAGAATGCAAAACAGATGCACATAGACACTGGGTGCTAGTTACAGCATTTGGAAATATTTACAGATGCAAATATGTAAAAGGCATTTAAAATTTGACACAACGGAAACATTAAGTCAATAAAAACAAATCTCACGAGCTGAAGAAAAAGCATAAAACATGCAGATATATTCTTAGTCCAAGGAATGTACCAGGTGAAACAGGGTGAGAGAAACTTTTTTGTAATCTGAACTGGATACATAAAGGTGCCAGGCAAAGTCCTGAAAGCTCTGATTAACACAGAGAGCCAGACTTAGAGGTACTACAGATCCACAGCTCTCACTGACTAAGTGCAATTTCAGGTGGTCTTCATCTTTCAGTGGAGGAGAGTTGGGGGCAGGGAAAGAGGCTCCTAGACACATTATTAATGGAAAACTTCATTTTTGTTCTACAGAAATTTAGATTTACTGTATGACTGCTCTGAAGCAGCATAACTAAGACAGGGTGACCGCCATAGCCTCACAATCATGGTGACAGCACAGCAGCAGCTGGAAATTGCCGCTGTCTCCATGCATCAGAGCTGCCCCAATCACCCAGCTGACTTGTTATGCCTCTGCTGCTCTGAGCCATTAGCTCCCTGATTTGTAAACAGATTGATTTAGCCCCTGCAATGAAAAGCTTTCTGGCACACTAGATTTAGGTATCTGGGTAATATGTGGGTGTCTCTGGCTAATTCATAGCCAGGGTCCATTGACCAGGAGAGTTTTCAAAATGAACATTTTGAGTGAAAGTCTCCAAGTGCTTCTTCACGCTTTCTTTCCCCCCACAAGAGGCACACAACTTTGCAGTAAACAAGAACTTCATGATGTAAAGAAGGTATGTGTTGTACCCGACCAGAAAATATAAATATAGTTTCTGCAGTTTCAAAAGACTACTAATGTTCTGTTCTGTTAATTAAAATGAAGAATTATTTTGGGACAAGGGAATGAAAAGAAACATTTCTGTATTAAAACTTGTTGAAATGGAATAGTTAGCAGGACAACTGCAAAATCCCCAGATAAATGGGTAGTCATGCCTTGGATGAGGTCAGAGCTGAGCAATTCCTTCCATTAACATGAAGCTGGCACCTCATGAGCAAAATCTAATGGAAAACTCCTACAGACAGTGCAATTAATTAACCTGTCCTTTTACTTCTTTATTTCTTTTGCCAATGGTGAAGATGCAACCAGCTTCCTGAGGTGACCAATAAAAATGATAAAGGGGGCATAAAGCAAACTGCATGAGCAAAAGCTGAAGGAACTAGTTATAATTAGTTTGAAAAAAGAAAACTAGGTAAGAAGGGGAAGAAAGACACATGATAGTTTTCAAATATTTGCAAAGTTGTCACAATGAAGACACACAAAAATTATTCTCCTTTGCCATGGAGGCTGGACAACAGGACTCCCACTCTGCCCCCACAAACAGCCACATATATACCCCAACATATGCCCCCCACACACACATTTTACACTACAGCAAAGCATATTTAGTTTACCTCTTTGGAGAAATTTCTTAACTGTAAGAACAGTGTGGGGCAGTCTGAAAGGGAAAGGAGTGTAGAAGAATTGGCTGTACTTTAAAGAAACTTTACTGAGGGCACAAGAACAAACCACCTCAACATGCAGGAAAACTAGCAAATATGGCAGAATACCAGCTTGGCTTAATAGAGAACTCTTCAATGAGCTAAAAACAAGTAGAAGGAACCCTACAAGAAGTGGAAACTTGGAAAAATGACTAGGGAGGAAGACAAAAGTATGCTTGGACATGCAGGGACAAAGTCAGAAAGGCCAAAGCACAACTGGAGCTGCAGCTAGCAAGGGACATGAAAGGTAAAAAGAAGGGTTTCTACAAGGAAGTCAGCAACTAAAGGAAGATCAGGGAAAGAGTGGGTCCCTTACTGACAGTGGAGGCAACGTAGTGGAAGATGAGGCAGAAAGGCTAAAGCACCTGACAATGCCAAAAGAACAGGTTAGAGATCATTTAGAAAAGCTGGACGTGTACAAGTCCATAAGGTTGCTCATGACACACCCAAGGATGCTGAAGGAGTTCGCTGGTGTTACTGCAGAGTAACACCAAGTTATCTCTGAAAACTCATAGCAATAGGAAAAGGTCCTGCACTATTAGAAAAGAGAAAATATAGTGCCCATCTTTAAGAAAGGAAAGAAGGAGGCTCCAAGCAACTATAGACCAGTCAGCCTCACCTCAGTCCATGGAAAAATTATGGAGCAGGTCCTCAAATAATCCATTTCTAAGCACTTGAAGAAGAAGATGGTTAGGAGCAGTCAGCATGGATTCACCAAGGGCAAGTCATGCCTGACCAACCTAACTGCTTTCTATGAGGAAATAACTGGCTCTGTGGATACAGGGAAAGCAGTGGATGGGGTATACCTTGACTTTAGCAAGGCTTTTGATACAGTCTCCCACAATATTCTCCCAAGCAAGCTAAGGAAGTGCAGGCTGGATGAATGGACTGTAAGATGGATAGAAAACTGGCTGGATCACCAGGCTCAAAAGGTAGTAAACAATGACTCGATGTCTAGTTGGCAGCCAGAATCAAATTAGTCCTGAGGCTAGTTTTGTTCAATATCCTCATCAGTAATCTGGAATATGGGCTAGAGTGCACCCTCAGCAAGTTTGCCAATATCACCAAGCTTGGGAGAGTAAGATACACTGGAGGGTAGGACTAGGATTCAGAGAGACCTAGACAAACTGGAGGATTGGACCAAAAGAAATCCCCTGGGGCACATCCACACATGCAGGCACATGCACTTGCAGCAGCTCAAATAGGAGTGGCACAAAATTGAGTCGAGGATTTTTGCCTTGGTGCATGTGCCTGGACATGCACTTTGATGTGGGGCAAGTTGTGCCACTTGGGGCAAAATGACCCTGCCCAGCTCCTTCCAGATCTGCAGCCAGGGGGAGCTAGGGCCTGGGGCCAGCACCTGTGTTGGCCCCCACAGTATAAAAACCTGCCCTGGTGAGCAGCTCAGGGCTACTTGCACTCAGGAGCTTCGGAGGCATGACCACTTGGTATCTGGGGACACAACCCCTTGTGCCAGCTGGACTGCTGAAGCAGCCTTAACCTGGAGTGGCCCCTGCCCCCTCTACCCACTGCAGCA